TCAGAGCAGACAGGAGGTAGGGAGGAGCCCTGTCATTAGTTGACACAATGCCATTGTCCCCTTAATGAAGCCATTGTATGAGAAGATCCAAGAGTTTGGGATTAACCTGCCAGAGCAAACTTTGTGTGTGTGTGTGTGTGTGTGTGTGTGTGTGTGTGTGTGTGTGTGTGTGTGTGTGTGTTTTATTGATGCAGGAAGATAAAAAACAGTATTAATCTTAATGGGAGATTCTAGTGTAACAGCAGTCGTGTCACACTTAACCAAATACATTTGGGTATTGGGTACATTTTATATGGTAGATGGTAGAAATAAAATCATGAAAACGTTGAAATGATCTTTAAACGTAATTAATGGGTAATACTAAACTGAAAATGTGCTGATTTTATCGCTCTAAATAATCAAAGTACAACTACATCTTCCAACACCATGTTACTCATGAAACAGCTATAAACTCTCAGATCTTCTTTCACCACTTCTGCGGGGTTACTTTAAAAACATGCAGAAAAGATAAACTCCCAAGATGGATCTTCAGAAACGGTTGGGATGCAATTTCTAAACTGGTTTTATGTCCTGAAGGTGTTTGCATGACAAAATATGGGCCTTTGGTTATGAATGCTTTCAGGCACTCTTTTATGGAAATCACAAAATGTCGTTTTAGATTCAGTTAAACCGTCATTAGTGTGTTTTTGCGTGTGTGTGTGAAGAACTGTAAATGATATCCTCCTTTGTCCAATTTGTTTTACAGAGCACCTGAGCCTCAGCTCTCTGTGTATGTGTTTGAATGGAACTGCTAGATAAATACAGGTGGGGTCCGTTTCTTACAACAACACACAGACAGAGAGACGATCAACAGAGGAAGAGACAGGATAAAAACACATTTAAAGTAGGAGAGAAAAAGATGGATGTTTCCAAGCACTATCAATCTTTACTAACACTTTTTCTCATGAACATGCATAACGTGGTGGGCAAACTGAGCTCAAGCCCACTGAGCAAAATCTTTTTTTAATTTCTTGTTAAGTCCAACAAATGATTACACAAAGATGCAAAACAACTACAAAACAGACTCAAAACCCTCAACAAATAGTAATAGTAAATAAGCAAAACCTCTATAGAGACACACCAATACCAAAAGATGGAAAACCACTACAACACACTACCACAAAGAGACAAACAACAACTACAAAATTCAAATTTACAAGAGAGACAAAAACACTTACAGTGAGACCTAAAAATATCTCAGAGACACAAAATGACTACAAATACACGCACAAAGAGATGCAAAACTACAACTGAGAGATGCGAAACAACGCAGCTGTGATGGGGGGTTAAAAAGTGCCTGTGCCCGGGGGCCTGTTGTCTCAGAATCTGTCCATGCCCATGAATCATTAACTCTACTCAGAAAACAAAGTGTGAAGTATGTTTTGCTTGCCTTGATCAAAAATAATGGTAATGTATGAGCTTTCCTTTTATCTTTACCCTTCCCTATGACTTCTCTCAGAAGGAATGTCTGCCATGTGGCGGTGTGACAGCTGAAATACTGCGAAGTCTGCAAGCTGCCACAAGACAGGAAAGTCAGGGGCAAATACCTTCCTCTGTGTGTGTGAGTGTGTGTGTGTGTGTCCCACTCTGTGAGAGAGGTGAAAGGTGTATCCGACATACCTGGAGTTTTTTCACAGGGAGAAGCAGCTTGTCTGGACTTGGCTGGGATTAAGTGTCAGAGTCTGAGCACAGAAACTCAGCTGAGACAGAGACAGAGAGATGTTGGGGCAGGAGTCGTCCTCCAGAAGGAGAGCAGTGAGGAAAACAGGATGGAGGAAGAGGAGGATGGAGAAGTGGAATAATGGTAACTGCATGGTCAGATTGATAGGGACATTTAAACAGGTAAATACAAGGCAAATACGGATAGATTAGAAAACATGAGAATAAACCAATATTAAGTGTCCTAGTGATGTGTAAGGTCACCGTTTCCTTTAATTTGTCATCTCTTTGGGTTTATATAAAATGATACAAACAAACAAGCAACCTGGAATTCAGCCCTAGAGTATCCCAATGTTTATGTAAAGTGATACAAATCAGAAATTCCTTTGCATTTGTTAAAACTGATATTCGATCCAAAGCTGTGACTCTGTTCACAAAAACACACATTTGGTCCTGAGCTGCATGCTCTGAGTGAGGTTAGTGAGCGCTGTCACCACCTTCACAATCAGCCTCTGTCTGCCGACCTCACCTCTCCTTCAGTTGCACTCGTGTGGATGTGTGTGTGTCTGTGCATGTGTGTGTTGAGGTAAGAAATTAACTTTTCCCCCCCTGAAGGCATGGTTTGCCCTCTTGATGTGCTTTCTTGGAGCATCTCAGGGTCAGTTTTAATAAAAGCACTCAGTTTCTACCATTAAGTTGAATTTTTACTTTCCCCCACTCCAGAAATATATTAACATGTGATATGGTTGGTTTAATTTGTAATTTGATTTACGTGTTCTTGGTCAAAGTGCACTTTAAAAACACTGCTATTAAACGCTTTTACAAACCCTGTGTGTGCTATATTGCACATGTCATTCAAGTCATGTGGGAGGAGGCCTCGGAGGACAGCAGTGAAAGTGACCTGCATGTGGATGTGTTGTGACTGTGTCACGGCTTGTGTACAGCCCAACTGGTCTGGCAACATTGTGGCGTGCCATGCTGGTATAGACGCAGCAGCAGCGGACTGTGGCAAAACCTGTTTGTTACGGGGGAAAAAAGGAAAGCATGGAGGGGGGAGCATGGAGAGGAAGTGGCCAATGGGGAAGATGGAATCCAACTTCCTCTTCCCTCAACAGCCTCCAGAGAAACAAGGGTGCCACAGTCCCTGACAGCCAGCATTTCTCCCTCACTGAGGGAAATGTTGTTGCCAAACAAGTTTCTCTACCCTGAAAAGAATTTAAAAAAACCTTTCTTGACCTTGACATAACCTCTTAAAACTAGCTGACCCTTGATATGTGTTCAGTGAGAAAGAGACTGATAGGTTGCTACAAAGAGTCCTTCAAAAATAACTTGTTTGAGCCGAAAGTGAACCTGAAAGCCCTTGTGGCGGAAGAAAGGATCCAGAAAAATCCCAAGCTGTCTGCGGCAAACCCCTGCGTATTCATACACACAATGGACAGCCAGATAATATTCTGCTGCACTATTGAATAGCTGACACCTGGAAGATTTGCTTTCACACGAGCCCTGAGGCTGGACAACCTCACCCCAAACCTAAGCTAGCAAGTCCCTGCACAACATCCCCAGGGTGGGGGGGAACATGAGCAATGTGTGGCTTTTGTAATTTTTCCCCTTCTTTTTTTTTTTTTTTTACTTTTGGCCTCCTTCTGAAACCATAATCACATCCTTTTCTCTTGAGAGATATTTCCCTCAATTCACAAAAGACTAAAAGGATTGAAGCAGGAAGGTGTGTGTGTGTGTGTGTGTGTGTGTGTGTGTGTGTGTGTGTGTGTGTGTGTGTGTGTGTGTGTGTGTGTGTGTGTGTGTGTGTGTGTGTGTGTGTGTGTGTGTGTGTGTGTGTGTGTGTGTGTGTGTGTGTGTGTGTGTGTGTGTGTGTGTGTGTGTGTGTGTGTGTGTGTGTGTGTGCGCGCGTGCGTGCGTGCGAATGGCAGTCCGGAGACTTTTCTCACAATGATAACATTTCACAATCATGACACCTAACTGTCTGGAAGATTTCCAACAGGAATGAGTGCTATCATGACTGATGATTAATAAAACACCGTGATTTGGACGAGTACTTATTTCATTTTTGGTTTATTATGTTTATCCTCAAAACAGAAAGCACTATCATACACTGTACAATTAGATTCTACAACAATTAGATAGTACATTTGGATTATGTGCCAAAAACAATCATGTTTCTTTTTTCAAGTTTTAACACATTTTTCCTAATAAAGCCACAAAAAGAAAATGCACCTCATAGAAAACTATAATTTTATTATTTTCTTTACAGACTTATTTATATTGTGGTGTTATTGGGATAGCATGTGATACTTAGTTTCCATCATGTACCTGGAGTTGCAGTTCATTTTCATATTAGCTGTAATCAGGCAAATACTGAGCGGATATGAACAGCTCCACTGTTCCCAAAACCAAAGAAACAGATAGTAGCTAGATTGATATCTAATGCAGTCAAAAACATCCCTGTCTATGCTGAGGCAGTATTTGTATAACTGTGATTAAAAATGTATGTTTAAAACAGGATTGTAACAGTCGAGACAGACATTATTAGGTCAGCAATGCAAAGAGGACATTATTACATTATAATGCTGATTCAGCTATTTTATCTACACTATCTTTATTAATAATAGCTAAGTGTCAGTGTCAAGCCTGTGTGCAAATGTTGTGCATGCTGGTGGCACAGTATGCATGCACACTTCTTTACCTGCCCCCTAGTGTTGCTTTGAGGGAACATCACTATTTGATATTTATCTCGTAAAATTGTTGTGTGATTATGTTTTTGTGTTGTACATGGTTACATAAAAAGAACAAGGTAAACATGGTTTAACTGTACAGAAAGCAAACAACAACAGTCCCATTATGTTAATGCTTATGACATAATTAATGATCATTTTCATGAACAAGGCGATGGATTAAACCCTAACTTCCAAATGGGCATCATCATGAATACAATAAATAAACATATCTTAAAATAATAAAGAAAACACACCAAAGTTTTGTGTTGTGTGTTTTAGTACTTACCAAAGCCACGTGGGGGCGACATTGCCAACGTCATGAATCCGCATCATGGTGCGTTCACAAGTCCTCTTGTAATCGAAGAAATAGATTTGTTACATGCATTTGTTCCAATGTTGACTAAGTAGGTCATTTGCATAGACTGTGTAAAATACGTAATTTACCGTGCACTACTCCCGAGCCTGCAGGTTTTCTGTTACATAACCTCTTATTCTATGGTTATTTTAGTTTTGTATAACTGTGCGTATTAATCATTTAAGGTTATCTATGTATGCCTTATTTCCATCTTCGCACTGGATCCATAAATGTTTTTTTCTTAGCCTCGAAGAGACGCATTACACCAGTGTCATTGAACGCATCAGTATCCTTTAGCTGTCTGTGAATTGAGAAATTCTTACAAATTGTGTACGCCTTACAAACGACACGTAGGTTACTGTTATTGTAAAGAGGTAAGTACTGCTGTCCTTTTAAGATTGTATAAGCTATAACATACCGCTGATACTTTTCCTGGTTAAAGTCTCCCACAGGCTGAAGGAAATAATTAGTTGATGTTTAGCCGACTAGCTAACGTGTTAGCCGGAGTGAGCTGAGGTTAGCATGGAGGCTAACCCACGCTACAGCTCGGTCATGTTAGTGCAGAGAAACACACCAGTGTCACCTGGATCACAACGAGCCAGATGTGCTGAGATAACTGAGTTTCAAGAAGTTAACAGGTTGACTGTTACTGAACAGTCAATTTAGAGATGGATAGGATATTAAGTCTCATCAAAAACAGTAGCTAACAACTAGCTTGCTAATTGTGTCTGTATTATTGTTCCTACCTCTCAAGACTTACTTAACAGACATTAGTAATTCCAGTATGCCCAATGCTTTGCGCACAAGTGCAAAACGTTGTTAATTCAGATAGCTAACATATGGTGTAACATGTTACGATAATGCTTAGCAGGCAGCATTTTCATTAATTAGCCATCGCTAGTTACCAGTTAATGCAATGCTGACCAAGGTCAACGTATATATAGACGTTGATGGGAGGCAAGGCTGAATTACCAAAAGGAAATATACACAATTTCACTGTCCCCATACCTGCAGGGGTCTGCGTCTCCATCAGTGTTCTAATGTGAGAGTAAGCACCACTAATGTTTATAGGATGTGAGCTGCACTAATCATTGTCAAGTTATTGGGGCTCATAGCTAATTCGTGTTTCATTTGGTAACACTTGTAGTCTGATTGCATTCTTAGAGAAAATTGTGGGGTGTGTTTATAACACACTCTACAATTTTCAAATCTGTTATCCACCTTAACTTTATAAAAGAAAATATCTTATTGAAGGTGCCCTTCTTGGATTGTTTGCTGAACCAAAGGAACTAGTTTATTCCCAACTCATAGAGAAACAAATCTTCTTTTTATGGAGGGCAAGAGAGAACTTGTTTCCCTCCCTGATTCCACTCTTTCAAACGAGTCACTTGTTAGTAAATCTGTAGCACAAACTGACAAATCTGGTCATGTTAGTCAGTTTTCTTTGCTAATTAAAACTTTCCTTGGTTGGTTAGTTTCGCCCATCTTGAATGGTTTTAGGAAATGAATTACCCTTACCCGTCATGTAAATCAAGGTTTTATAGCCCTGCCTGTAATTTCCCGTTCAGGTAAACTGAAGCTCTTCTATCTTGTTGACTTTGCCTGACCTCGGCCGGCTGGCAGTTGTGAAGTCTTTGCTTGCATTTTACAGTTTTTATAACAACCAAACGTTTAGCTGCCTGTAAGAAAGTCCTTGCACCTGGCCCTCAAAATGCTGATGAAAAATACTGAAAAAATTGCCAAAGTGTTCTCCTTTGCTATCACAGTAAACATGGTATTAGGCCAGTCTTTCTCTGTGGGAACTGAAATAACTCTCCAAACGTTTTAACTGACTTATTTATGGTAGATGTGTACCAACAACAAGAATAGAAAGTTAAGAAAAGGTCACAACACTGTGGTGTATCGGTAAACATCAAGTCATGTGTCCTTGCTTCCTCCTCTTTAGGCTTTCCCAGAATGGCGCGCGGGCATCAAAAACTTCAGTCCCAGCAGAAAAATGCAAAGAAACAGACAGAGATGAAGAAGGCAAAGGGTCATGACCAAAAGACAGCCGCCAAGGCAGCGCTAGTGTTCACCTGCCTGGTGTGCCGGGTGAGTATGATATCTTTACTATTACAACCCAGAGACCAACACCTGACTGAGGGTGCAGCCTGGTAATACTGCTATGTTATATAATAATGCCGAATTCTAACCCTTATTATGTCAAGGTTAGAAAAGTGCTAGAATTTGAATATATTCCCTTAAAAAAATGCTTGGTTTTCAACTAAATATATTGTTTTATATACACAATCCCTCATGTCAGAGTTCATTTGAACTTCTGGTGAAAAAATCCAATTGACCAAATACGCTGATCGCTTTGAGTATAAAATAATGATTTAAAGGTAATATTTTATGAACCCTTATAACGAGAAAAGGCTTTTATTTTCCCTTTATAACTCTGCTGGTGTTTGGTCCTTTTTTTTAATAATTCTATGAAGACATTTGTCCTAAATTATAAATTGTATGTATTTTCCCTTCCCGCAGACCCAGATGCCCGACCCAAAAACCTTCAAGCAACACTTTGAGAGCAAGCATCCGAAATCCCCTCTGCCCCCCGAGTTAGAGGGAGTGGAGGCATAAACGGTCACCATGGATACCAAACCCATTCAATGCCCTGCACCAACTCTGCACTTGTCTCAGTCTGACAGCAATGGATGAATCGATGTAACCAACTAAAATAGTTAGCCATATCTACGTAGGCTTTAACGGGCCAGGTTGCTTTAACACAATGCTTCCCCCCCCCCCTCTCCAGTCCTCTTTTCACTTGTGGTTAAATAACTTGCGGGGCTAAACTTAAATACCGGTTTTAATTCCAGGGCCACTGGAGTTCCAGGAACCATTCAAGTGTCGAATGAAGATTTCTCCCTTCCTTCACTAAGTTCCTCAGAACAGTCACTGCCCTGATGTCTTATGCACATAGGAGTATTTCTAGCTGCTAACTCTTGTACCTCTCTAACTCAAGCTTCAATTAAATCAATTGTTTGATAAACCTATAAAGCAAAAAGACATATGTTGTAAAGGCATAAAGTGTCTTCAAACAAAGCATGGGATTGGCTTGGGTGGGAAAATTCAGATTTTAAATTTGCTACAATCAAGACAATGGCAGATGTGACCTTGTCTTTTTTTATTTGTGCTTCAAGCATTGAATCAAACTGAGCCTGTGGCGTTTTTTTCTCATATCAGTTGTTCAATATTGAATTCTTCCACAGCGCTGTCTGCCGTTTTAAACTGCAATCTTTCACCTAGCTAATCATAATTTCATGTTGGGTAAAAAAAAAAAGTGAAATTTCACAGGCGAGTGTAAGCAACTTGTGTACACTTGGATACGAATGAATGAATGCTCCAATGATGTATAATAACATTTTATTAAATTTTACTTTGTTGTATATTTGCGTTTCTCTAGAAAGTGTTTTTTTCTTCTTCATATAATTCCAGGAAATCCTTCTAAGGATTTTGTAGGATTCATCTTATTTGTTTTTCTGCCTCGTGGGTTAAAATTAACTTCTAGCTTTTTAGGGTTTGTTGGTCCATTTACTTTTACTGCCAGTTCAATATTTACAGTCCATTAAAATTGACCACATTGTTCTGCTCCTCTGCTCATAGTGTAACTTTATTTTTCTTCCCATTTTGCAATATGTCAGCGTGAAGTCGTTCTGGGACATCAGCTGCTGTCACCTCTAAATGCAATCATTTATGAAGAATGATAGATAATAGTATTCACAATATTCCGTGAAGCCATCGGTAGGAAAAAGACAGAGTGTAATTGACATCTGACTTGGAAGTCATGCCAGGTGGCCAATCTACTCTAATGTGCCCATTTTTGTCATCTTGCCTTTTTAGGAAAACATTACACTGCGGGTACTTTACTCTCGGGTAAATTGCAAAAATCTGAATTTGATGTTGGATCATCATAAAAAGCTTGAACCTTCATTTGCAGGAATAATCTTATACCAACTATACTATAATTGAAGCATCTTGTTGATGGCTACTATAAATGTAAACCTTTTTCAAAATGTAAACATTACTTGATGCAAAAGTAGCAACGCTACATCTGAAATATGGTTTCAAGTTGTTATGCGATGGAGTAGCTGAAACAAACTGTCATAAAAGCTTTACATCATCTGCTGCTGTCAACAGGAAATGACTTGAACTGCACCACATTATAATTAACAAAATCAATTAATGCTGTGTGAACCGATAAGTAATTTCAGCTGCTGAAAATATTGTCTTCGACTCTTTTTCTTCACAAGCATTCATTTCCTCCGAGGTGTGACAGATGCTTCAGTTCAGCTCTGACTGTGACTGAAAAGATGTGTTGTCCCACTGTACACAAAGAATGAACTGCAGCATTGCATTCACTGGTATTACCAGCGTGCCTTGTATTCACAATGTCTGAGTCTGAGAAATAACGTTGTTTTCCTGTTTAATCTGAGTATTCAGAAGAACAGAGAAAAAAAGCCAGTGCCATGCTGCATGTTTTTCACTCACCCAAATGAGTCAGTCTGTCAACATGTAGCCTTCATTTAAAAAAAAAAATGAGGGTTGACTACACCTAGCAATTATGGTCATTATCGATTAATACATGAATCAAAAAGTAATTATTGTTAATTTATTGTGTAATCTTATGTGATTTATTTAGTATGCCAATAGTGCGTGTAAGGAGTTCTCAGTTAAATCAAATAGTCTTAGAAACCATTTTTTAGGTTATTTTTCCTTTGTGATCAAAGAAACACTAACTTCAAAGTGAACACGTATAGACTGATACATCAACATAATCTCTAGACACCGTTTCCTAGCAACTGCTAACATTTAGACACGGTACGGTAGATGGGGAAAGATCATTTTGGATTTGCATTATTGTTTAGTCCCCTAAATTAGATCAATAACATGAAATAATAACATTAAAAATTCAATTTTGGAATGTTTATAAAAGATGGAGCCACACATGACTTAGCAAAATAACCTACATGATTCTTCTTGACATTGTTTTACATAATAATACTCATAATTTATCATTTGTAAAAACACAACTGAATTTCGTCTAGTATTTTTTAGCAACACGTCACTACATCTCCCACGAGGACAAACGCTGTTTAGGTGTTTTTTTCCACTTCATACAACAATATTTAAAACCTTGTAGATTTACAGTTAGATGATTTCAAAAGCAGAGATATAAAAGACCGTAACACATAGTAGCCTATGTTCTAAACTATGTTTTGCCTACTGTAATATGGGAATTAGAATAAGATAAGATTGTTGGAAACTTAAATAAAAAAATAAAAGATCCACCAACTGTTTCCATGGCTTTAAATCTTTTGCCTCTAAATGTGGTTGCCATAGCAACCCGAGTCTGACGTCATCGTCCCAGTGAGACCGTGCTGCTGTGTCTTTGATTGGAGGGAAACCCCGTGGACGAGCGGGAGCGATCATCAGCTGTGCGGCCGGGAATCAGGAACAACATCATCTAACTACACTCGCAGGTTAGTTCTCCTATTTACTCCTCATTCTCGCTGCTATTATGAAGATTAGAACGTTATTTTGTACGCCGTGTGCTTAGACAGCTCTTTAAATTTAGCTTGAATTGTTGCTACTGTGGACTGTAAGAGGAAACCAGTGATGCTCCGCTTACTCAGTCATTGTTCGCCGCTTAACGTACTGAATGTGGAGCTTTACTGCAGTTGTAACCCATCTATGTATTTTACACACTGTGTTTAGAAGGCTGATTTTGAGTGTACCCCATTATCTTTTTACAAAATGAAGCAAGCCGACATTAATGTATAATGCTCGCTGAAATCATTTGCTCTGGGTGTTTTCCGGGAAGCGAAAAAGGGCGTTCACTTTGGACTGAAATAAGCAAAGCTCCTTTCATTCCGGTTAAACCGAGTCTGTCACACCATTATTGGGGTTTATTTGTATATTGTAAAATAGTTAGGAGATATTAGAATAGTTAGGCCATATTATATAGCAAGTCCTGCATCCTTGCGGCACACAGAAGTGTGTGTGTGTGTGTGTGTGTGTGTGTGGTGAAACTGGGTGGCCGACATTCCTCTGAAGGGTGCAGGTGTCTGCTGGTAAATCTGACTCACTGATCGTGGGATTTTTGAAAAATTAGTCTCCTGCGTTTTTCACAAGGAGATAATAAATGTTAAGCGATAATTAGCAAATGATGTACTTATTTCTATGCAATTTACAGCCCTGTAGTTATGGTAAAATGAAGCAAAGTAATATCTTAAAGTGTTACAACTATTACTAATACTTATGTCCTATCAATCAAATACATACATTTGTAAGTAAAGTTATAAGATGTTAGTCATGTCATGTTATTAAGCAAAAATGAAGAACACACTGGTTTCGGCTTTAGTTTTATAACCATATCCTGCTTTTGTTTGGTGTCAAACACATGCATGATGATGATTTCCGAAATGATTTAGAGTTTTTCACTCTGACATAACATTTTATGGACAAATTGACTAATCTATTTATGAAGAATATACTAATTGATACCTGTGCCCTGGGAATCTTGTTTTACAATTAACATGTCAAACAACTAATCTAGAGAGAATCTCCAGATTAATCAAATATATAAGTTGCTCTTTCAAATAGAGATAGCCTGAAAATTACATTTCATTTTCATTTAGCTGACGCTTTTATCCAAAGCGACTTACAATTATCAATTGGACGGATAAGGAAAACAATCATGTTGCAATGGCACTTTCAATATAGTTGCCCTACTATAACCACCCTTTTTAAAAATTTGATATATCATACTATCTTTTCAAATTTCTATTCTATTTCTTAATCCATTCTGATGTAAAACCCCTGTACACTATACACTTCTCTTGTGGAATTTGTAACAACTTCGATGCCAAGTCAACTTAGTCACCAGACTGAGTGCAGATAAACAAAGCTGGGTGAGATCCAACAACTATTTAAAAAATCTGGTGTGCACACACCCTGAACATACCTACTATTGCGAGAAACGCTATAATAATATTACTTGAATAATGTCAGGTGATACGATAATTCAACAAAGTGAAAGTTGTGCCATAGACTGCGTGTTATATTCTCCAATTATATCAGAGATCACTTTTTAGTGCTATTCAGTGCATGAAAATCTCTTAAGCTTGTGTTAACCAGAAGCATTTAACCAGAACCCATTCAAAAAACCATTGACTTTTGACACAGGGAAACTGTTAGTTGTAAAATGCAAATTGATTTCCTGGTTTAAGACTTGTTCCTTCAGCACACTTATAACTTCCTTTCAACTGATTGTTATTTTGGTATCTCCAAATGTGTGTTTGCATGCATGCCAGAGAACAGGTTTCTTTCAAAAAAACTTGATGACACAGGAAGGACAGTGTGTTTACATGTACTGTAGTCATCGGTCATTCAAGTTTAAGGATCATATCCCCCTTCCTCACCGTGTTGCTCCCCTCTCTCTCTCCTTGTTCCTGCCCTCCCCCCAACTCTCTCTCCTCTGTCTTCCTGATCCGTCTCCTGTCCTCTTTGTGTTGTCCTTCCCGACCCCCTCTCCTCTGGCCTTCCTTCCTCAACCCAGACAGGAGCCATGGCAAACCATGAGGAGAATGTACAGCGAGCCAAACTGTCGGAGCAGGCCGAGCGCTACGATGACATGGCTAAAGCTATGAAGGCTGTGACAGAGGAGAGCGAGGAGCTCAGCAACGAGGAGCGCAACCTGCTCTCTGTGGCCTACAAGAATGTGGTGGGGGCTCGGAGGTCCTCCTGGAGGGTGGTGTCCAGCATGGAGCACAAGACTGAGGACACCAAGAAATCTGCACAAGCCAAAGGGTACAGAGAGGCTATCGAGAAAGAGCTGAACGACATCTGCCAAGAAGTGCTGGTAAGCTGCAGAGATCACGTAGAGTTGCAAATAGGGTGAAAGGAAATGGAGAGCAAATGCTTGAACCGAGATTTACAGATGTGAAGCCAACAAATAAATCGGCTGTTTTTCTAGTGAGAACTTTAAGTGTTACAACAGAGAGAATGAGTGAGGGACTGTATTTGGTTTTCCTGTCCATGACAACTGTATGCAACACCAGTCAAATGCACTTAACAGATGCATTTATTTCCGCACAGGTTGCTTGCTTTCATATAAACATTATAGCTATAAGGTCAATAATGAGTTTAATTTGGTTACAGCCTGTATGGGCTGGGGGTCACGTCAGTAAGAGCTACATGGGGCAGTGTAAATATTCACTAACAACGTGTAGTCATGTGTTTCTGGATACCTCATATTTAGGGGGAAAAAGTTGGAATCAAATATTAAAGTATAGTGGACATAGTCGATGTGTAGGAGCCTTCACAACATGTATATTAGACTAGTTTGAGTCTCATGTTTTAAGTCATTCTACCAAGATATGCTTCAAG